GATAACCGGATTTTAATCGTACTATCCTCTGGAAATTTCCGAGACGATACAATAAGTCTATGGTACACGCAAAGAGTACCGTATTTAAGCAAGGGGGTTGACGCAGATAGTACTTCTCTACGACGCCAATACAGTAAACACTAGTTTGGTCGAGCTAGCACGCGTCTTCTAGACTCCTCGCACTTTATGTGTCGTCCGGTGTTTACGACGAGTGTGTGGGACATGGCTACTCCCAGTGCTCTGTCTCGAGCGAACACGTGTCTACCTGCGACTCGTCGGCTGTCAGACATGACCCGATATGTAATATAGTCGCCTTCGGTGACCAAGACTACGTGACCGACGCACGAAAAGTCGTCAAGTACCAAAGGTAAGACCTACATGTTAAAAAATATAAACATAACGAGTTAACAGTTTTAGTCGTGCAATTCGTATAAAGTTACAACAGATAGCCCTACAATTCTCGTAAGTACCTTATATGACGATATACACTATAGAAATGTTCGTGCGTTCTAATGAGTTTAAGATGGTCATTTAAGTGGAAATTCGGTTCTAGATAACCATACTTTATGTTTTTATACTCACTTTGTGTGATGTCAATGTAATGTCTTACCTCGCAATGACTAGTTGTTGATATTATTAACTGATTTTATTCACGAAATTTCGGTAAAGAATCACGAAGACAAACTATTTGAAAAAAGACTATAAAATATCTGAGTGTGTTATTGAGTAATTAAGGAGTTAGTAACCATATTAGTTATGTTCTAGCCTCGGGATTGACTAAATATTAACTCGGAGCGACGATGTGTGTAACTGTCACGATCGGTTGTGTGACTCTCACACACACACACCACACACACACACACCACACACACACACACACCTCTAAGGCACAGTGACGGGACATCTTCGAGACGTCCTTTACTCCAGTGGACTCGTCTTTGTGACGTCGGCTCTGTGTAGAGAAGAGGAGGAGAGAGAGTTGCAGAGAGATTGATTTTTGTGTAAGGGTGGATAGGATTGGGGGGGGGGGAGTACAATAGGTCGGGGTGTCGACTGACGTCAGGGCGGTGTGACGAATAATTTTGTGAGTCTGCATGCACTGTATCAAAGGTAGACGTGAGAGTGCCAGGCCGACCCTTAATCTAGTAGGGTCATCCGTTGGTCTCTTGTCCCCCCCGCCCCTTATGGGGGGCGGGGGGTGGGTGGAGCGGGTGGGGTCACCGCAACGTATTAGTCCACTGGTCTACATCGTAACGACAGAGCCTACTTCTGTAAGCACGTCCGCAAGACGTACAAGACCCTGACGTACTGCCGGTGGAAAAACAATAGACTACTAGACGTCTTTACTGTCGTTTTTTGCTGAGAGTTGGGTGTCCATTTAGTTTGGGTGGTTACACAATAACAAATTTAACGGCATTTTTATACTAGAAGGATTGCAGTGGAAGTATTTTTGTCAGGGTGAAGATTTTACATGTAGTTGTGTGTATTGTTTCATTTACACCTAGGTGCCATTGCATCGGTTAAGTGCGCATAGAGTTTTGTTAATGTTAGGTCGTTCTAAGAGGGGTGGTTTATATACCTCGCATCTTCAAATTTCGCACTGTGAATATACCTTTTATTGTTGGGTAAAAATTTGATCACAGGAAATTATACATCGTCAATACCTTGGTAAGAGTTACAATTAATGTACATGAGATTTTCAACAGGAATTCATGTCGACCTTCATTTACGATTAAAGGTTTTGTGTGTGTGTTGTGTGTGTGTGTGTGTGGTGTGTGTTGTGTGTGTGTGTGTGTGGTGTGGAGGTACAGAGTAGGAGAAAAACACGACACAAGTGTCTCGGTCGCTCCGACTGAGCTTATGGTACTCTGTCCGAGTTTAACAAGCGTCCCAAGTAGAGGTAATTACAATATTGTGCTCACTGAGAGGGAGAGGGAGAGAGAGGAGAGGTAGACGCCATTGAGATGTGGAGGAAGGCGGTTTTTGTTGTGTATCTTGGGTGTGGAGTGGTAAGAGAGAGAGAATGAGTTTGTGGTCGAGACGGACTGTATGATTCGTTTTTTTTCTCGTACGACCTTCCGGACGACGACGACTTGGTGTTGTGTGGTGTTGGTGTCGTGTTGTGTGTGTGTCGGGTGGTGTGTGTGTGTGTGTGTGTAGGTGTGTGGTGTGTGTCAGGTGCGAGGAGACTGAGTCTGGGACTTTGACACCCTACAAACGACACACACAATCTTTACGCTGGGACGTGTGACGTCGGTTCACAAAAGATCGACACGACACACACACACGCACACAGCAAGCACACACACACCACAACGACACACACACCACACACCACACACGACACACACACACGACGACACACACCGAAGTATAAGAAATCTTTTCATTTTCACACGACAAATGGTACTAGGCGTCCGACGGTTCACACAATTAGGTTTGAAATAGCTACAGTCACGAAAAAATATGCTGTTCCTTTCATTGTGTTTGGTTTTTTTGTAATTGTTTGTTTTTTGTTAGTTGTAAAAACAGAATATAAAGTTTTATAATATATAAATTTAACCTGAGATTAACAGGTTTTTTTTTAAGCAGGGGGTCCTATTATACCATTAATGACAAAGTCTAATTATAAACACTTGGTACTTTCACAAAGAATGTAGAAGTTTTTCAGGACTATTAGATTTAATAGCTGTATAAGCACTGTCGAGTCTTTGCATGTGTTATGAGCTATGAAAACTCAATGACATGGAACTAAGTATGAATTCACACCATACACACACCACACACACACACACACACACACACCACACACACACACCACACACACACACACACACACACACCAAGTACTAACACTGACGCACGACACCACCCTCTCTCGCTGCGCTCGACGCGTGGTTGTCGTGTGGTCAGCTCTAGGACGTGCCGGACTCTCGTAGACAGCCAAATATCATTTCATGTACCGTCATAAATATAAACTTTGTGTTCGGTAGCATCAGATATATAAAAATATATAAAAAACATGTCTATGAAGTGTTTTGCTCAAAATACCAAACAGATGCCTCATATCCCTCTATTTCACTTCCTGATTCAAAAACGCTGATTTGGGGTATAAAGCTTTAAAAAAATAGATTAAAAAAAGACGAGGGGGCTGAGCTCATGCGGGACCCGGCAGCTACTGTCTAAACTAAATACTGCCGTGATGAAACGCCATATCATGGAATATCAAGGATTATCTCTGAAACAGTATGGAGCTCAAAGGCTTTCTCTCTTGCCGGTTATACCACAAGGTGAGTTCCTTTTTATTTCCTGTTTCTTCACACACATGCTCTCCAGTACAGGTTAGCTCTGACACATTTCAGATATTACGTCATATCGGACGCAAATCTGGATCAGCTCCGTTGTTCCCCCGTTTTTAGAGATTTGGGTACGGAGGAAAAGAGGGAGGGTTTTATGTTCTGACGCTGCGTGACTTCCCCGACACACCGGGGACACATGTTTATGTATACAAGACATCAAAAAGTGCATTTTGCATGATAGGAAACCTTTAAATATTTCATATTTTCTGTGGGTATTTACTTTACTTTTGGTGAATATTAATGTATTTGAATTGCTTTTTTAACTTACTGTTTACATTAATATTGTTGTATTTTCTTGTATTTTACATTTTTACTTAACTTATGTTTGTATAAATAATTGTATTCTCTTTTATTTGATCTTTTATTGAACATTTAACTTTACATATTTTACATTTCTACCATACCCAGGGAGAGTTAAAGTCTTCTAATTCTGATGATTGTTAGCTTGAAGTTTTTTTAATTATTCAAAACAGAAAAGCAGAAGTTTCCCTGCTTCACAGGCTGAACATATTTAATTTAATGACACTTTTTCCATATAATTGTTTGCATTTAAATGGTCAATTCAGTTTTAAAAAGCAGGTTGAAATGTTGCAATTATACAACTTATTTGATCTTGTTGATTTCCTTGTTGGTGCATCACTGTTAATTATTCACAAAGTCCAGAGATAACACCTTTGACTTTTGTTTTGCTTTTATAACCGA